GACGCTACCAGGGGCTCCTGGCCTTACTACTAGGAGCAAGGACGCTAATTACCAGGGGCTCCTGGCCTTACTACTTTACTACTAGGAGCAAGGACGCTACTAGGAGCAAGAACGCTACTAGGGGCTCCTGGCCTTACTACTAGGAGCAGGAACGCCACTAGGGGCTGCTGGCCCAGCTTATCAATAAATAAAACAAATGAATGATAACTAGTGATGGAACCTTTCTGACAACCCAATCGAAGGAAGCGGAGTTTCCTTGATTCCTTTTGCGTCCGGATGCATCTACTACCTAGCTTCCTGTCACCAAGACCAGCTAACCACAACCTAAGCTGTTCAAGTTCCTTGAGCTAGTATATACCTTGCTGCTGCTGCTGCTGCTACTGCTACTGCCTTACTAATAGGAGCAAGAACGCTGGCCTTACTACTAGGAGCAAGAACGCTACTAGGGGCTCCTGGCATTGCTACTAGGAGCAAGAACGCTACTAGGGGCTCCTGGCCTTACCACTAGGAGCAAGAACGCTACTAGGGGCTCCTGGCACAGGAGCAAGAACGCTACTAGGGGCTCCTGGCCTTACTACCAGGAGCAAGAACGCTACCAGGGGCTCCTGGCATTGCGGCTCTTGGCCTTACTACTAGGAGCAAGGACGCTACTAGGGGCTCCTGGCATCGCTACTGGGAGCAAGAACGCTAGTTGGGGCTCCTGGCCTTACTACTAGGAGCAAGGACGCTACTAGGGGTCCTGGCATCGCCACTAGGAGCAAGAACGCTACTTGGGGCTCTTGGCCTTACTACTAGAAGCAAGAACGCTACTAGGGGCTCCTTGCATTGCTTCTAGGAGCAAGAACGCTACTTGGGGCTCCTCACCAGCAAGGACACCGTTAGGGGCTCCTGGCATCGCTACTAGGAGCAAAAACGCTACTTGGGGCGCTGGCCTTAATACTAGGAGCAAGGACGCCATTAGGGGCTCCTTGCATCGCTGCTAGGAGCAAGAACGCTACTTGGGGCCCCTGGCCTTACTACTAGGAG